TACAATTCATAAAGTGTGATTATAAAATGTTCTTAACAAACACACCACAGTTATACCAAATGAATTAAACAATTCAAATGACTTTGCCTAAGGTCTGCATTTAATGATAAGCATTCTAACACTGTTGTATAATGTTAATACGTGTTTAGAAGGATATGCTTCGTCCATGATCCCCATGTGCCCTCTAAATGACTTCTGAATCTTTCTGATTTATACGTGATTTTTTTTTTTTGAGATAGCTTAATGTACTTAAAGGCTAGAAGGCAAACTATGTAATGAGCTGGGGAATATCTATCACTATCCACTCTGAATTTAAAATATGATAAGCCTTTATTTCTCGAATGGTTCACATATTGTTGAAAACATAATTTATCATAAAGCACATAAATTTATCATAAATTTACTGGCAGAAGTAGAATGTAAATTTCCAGTGTTCATATCTTATTTAGTTTCAAGTGCTCTAAAAAGGATAAACAACTTAGTTAATATTTAGTTTCTGATAAGGATAGTGCTGATTAAATTTACTTCAAAAAATTTTAGATTATTTTAATATGTACAAGTTAAAATCATCAGGTGATTTTTTTTTCCCTCCTGGATTGAGGCATTGTGATGGCAATATAAAGTTCCATAAGATAAATACAGGACCAGCCTTATTCCATCTTATAACAAAATTTTAGATCAGAAAAAAATTTAAGGCAGAAAACAGAAATGAGTTAAAACTGTTGGGCCTTAAAGTGATCTTCTCATATCTGCTCTAAATTTAATAAAATTAATTGCACCTTTATCATTTAACTTAAGGTTGCAATACATTTAAGCTTTTATTTGTATAACCAAATAAAATGGAAATCAACCTCGTTTTAAAGACAAAAAAAAAATGTGACCAGATGTCATCATTTATAATAAAATAACAAATACATAAATGTTCAAGAAAATAAAATCTGGTTATTATTTATCATTGAGGAGCTGTGAGTATTAATTAAAGTCAATTAGACTTTCATTTAGTGGGCAACAGAGACACACGAGCCACTTTTAGAAAGCTTAAGGTATTTGCATTCATTAGAGAATTAAGATGGACCCTAAGTTAGTTCAAGCCTCTATTCTTCTGTTCTCAAAACTTCAGCTATGTAATCGCTTTGGTAATTAAGTTGTGTCAGGGGTCAAATTTGAAGACTGCTTTGTACAAGAGTAGTTCTTTACAAATATCATTGTTCGATTATCAGATATGATTTGTGCTTATTTAGTGATGACACCTGTGAAGATGCCGCACACTGGACTATGATGTCAAGTGAAAGTAAAGACTGCATCTTGAGCACTTATATAAGCCAGGCACCCTTTTACATTGATTGTATTATCACTGTATTATAGATGAAGTACAGAGAAATTAAGTAACTTGTCCAATATCACATAGCTGGACAAGAAGCAGAGTCCAGGTACAACTTCCATGGATGCATTTCTAAATCCCACACTCTGATTGTAGCTATTGATCTTTGTGCTAACACATCCTTGCAATTATATTTAAACAATCATGGCTAGGTGTTTTTTAAGAAGGCTAAATGAATTTTCAAGTTATCTCAAAACCCATTAAATCTTAGATGTTAGACCACATTTTAATGTTGTGTCTTTAACAAATTTGGAAATTATTTAACCTTTAATATAAATTTCATTGAAAGCTTTTTTACAATCAGTGCTCTATTGGGGAGGACATAATAGTTGAGAATGTATTCAGATTTTTTTTTTTAACTATGAACCTTATACTTTTTCAGCTGCAAACCTAAGATAAGTAATAGCTTTGTGAAACTTAGATACCTTAATAAGTTGGTGCATTTGATTCATTGGTATCAGTTGACAGGCACAATTTTTTTGTTTTTGTTTTTTCAAGATAAAGCAGCTTGTTGTTAACAGGTTCCTGAGTTTGCTTATCAGTTCTTACAGGTTGTACTTTATTTTTGTTGTTTGTCTTTTTTTTTTTTTTTTTAATGGAAGTTTTTGGGTTTCCCATATAGAGATCATGTCATCTACAAACAGAGATGATTTCACTTCCTCACTTCCAATTTGGAGAGCTCTTATTTCCTATTTGTTGACCGACCCAATACCTCAAGTACTGTGTTACCTGGAAGTGGTAAAAGTGGGCATGCCATGCTTACCTGGTTCCTGATCTTAAAGGAAAAGCTCTCACATTTTCATGGTTGACAATGATGTTCGCTAAGGGCTTTTCATATATGGCTTTTACTATATTTAAGTAGGTTTCTTTTATTCCTTGTTTGTTGTTTTCCTCATGAAAAAGTGCCAAATTTTGTCAGAATTTTTTTACTCATCTTTTGAAACAATTGTGTGATATATTCTATTCTGCTAACACAGCATATCACATTTATTGATTTTAAATATTGAATTATATCATTTTATGTTAACTATATCATTTTAAATGTTAAACTCTATCATTTAATCCCAGAGATAATCATGTGTGCTAATAATTGTATGATCCTTTCAATACACTGTTAGGTTTGATTTGCTGGTATTTCATTGAGGAATTATGCATCTGTATTTTTCATATGGCCTGTAGTTTTCTTTTTGGAGGTGTCTTTGTATCAAGGTAGTAATGCTATCCTCATAAAATGTATTTAGAAGTGTTTCCTCGTCTTCAAGTTTTCAGGCGAGTTTGAGAAGAATTGGTGATAATTCTCCTTTAAATGTTTTCTGTAATTCACCAGTGAAGCCATCAGTTCCTGGGCTTTTTGAGAAGTTTTTGATTGCTGGTTCAATCTCCATTCTAGTCCATTAAGACTTTCTTTGTTTCATCATTTCATCTTGAAACAAATTATTTAGAACATTGTTGGAGAACACTATTGAAGTTGACCATATTTTTTATTTTCCTCTTTTCTCATTTCACCATTTATAAACTAAATAAAAACAAGAAAGGGCAGAACAGAAATGCTTATCCTCAATGAAATTCCCTGATTTAAAATTTCAATTAATAAATGGAAGAATATTTAATAATCACAAAGATTATTAGCCGGGCGCAGTGGCACATGCCTGTAATCCCAGTGACTCTGGAGGCTGAGGCAAGAGGATCAGGAGTTCAAAGCCACCCTCAGCAAAAAGCAAGGCACTAAGCAACTCAGTGAGACCCTGTCTCTAAATAAAAACAAAATAG